TTAACAGAATTTTGATCGATGAAGAAATCCCTCTCAAATGGAAAGAAGAATCTTTCGTTATACCATTATCAAAATCTTCCCCTAAAAATCATTTCTCAAACTACCGACCCATTTAGCTTGACCTCACCCCTATCCAAACTTTTCGAAATTATCATTCATAATAAAATAAACAGTCATCTAAACATGAACAATCTTATATCCGAACAACAATTCGGCTTTTTGGAAAACAAATCCACAGTTGACCAATTGCTTTTATCTTGTAGAGATTTTGTCCGGGTTATAGAGAATAAGCACAAAATGCAACTTGATGCTATTTTTCTCGACTATGCTAAAGCCTTTGATACTGTCCCACACTCCTTTCTGAGCTTAAGAAGCTTAAGAAGTATAAAATTTGTCCGAATGTTATAAAATGTATCACCTGCTGGCTCACAAATCGCTCTTTTAAAGTCTCGGTAAATAATTGCATGTCTGATTCCTATGCCTGTACTAGCGCAGTGCCCCAAGGAAGCATTTTAGGACCTCTACTTTTTACGATTTACATCAACGATTTACCTAATCTAAATCTAGCCCGACCTTTCTCCAAGATATGGCTCTATGCCGACGATGCTAAGCTAATTTTTGAGACTCCATTAAATGATATAAATAAGTCTGGATAGCTCCTTTGATAAAACCCAAAAAGATCTGAGCACAGTTGAAATTTGGTTCAATATTTGGGGTTTAAAACTTTCTCACTCAAAATCTATTCATTTTAGTACAGGTAAAATAAAAGTCCCCCTTAAAATTGGTAATACCGCAATAAAGTCCATAGCTAACAATGAATCTCTTCGCGATTTAGGAGTCTACATATCACCTCCTCTAAATTTCTCTACACACATAGAAAAAATATGCAAGAAGGCGTCCTTTTGTGCGGGCAAAATTCTTAGATCTATTTGCACTCGAATAGCACTATTCAAAATTGATTTTGCTAACTACTCATCCGTCAGGTATAAACATAGATTGAAACTTTTCTCACTTGAAACCTTAGAACAGCGCCGTCTTATCATAGATTTGGTTGAGTGCTTTATAATTGTAAAAGGAAAACATCAAAACCCTCTTTTTAAAAATTTTTTTCGGCTAACCTCGAGGCTTTTAACGACTAGGCGTGGCTCTTTTACCTTGCATTCCGAAACGGCTTTCTCCAAATCCTCTAGAGCTTTTTTTGTAAATCGTGTGATTAAAGTTTGGAATGCCCTTACCGACAAGTTGCGTTTGATCTCCACCGTGTCTGATTTTAAAAGAGCTACTTCGTTGCATTTTAAGTGACTTTGTGATCTTTTATTTGGTACATTTTTCATGTCGTTTTCGCACTTTATTTCTTTCTAAATAAAGTATTTATATAAATCACTTTATTTTCAAAAATCCTACAACTCAAAAATAAATCATAAACATAAATAATCTTTTAGAAGAACGCGAAACTGGGTATAATAAAACTTTTTACCGCTGTCACTCTGTTTCGATCGAGTTGAGGTGACTTTGGTTCGCCGTGTAGAACTCGATGAGGCTTTCCAGTGTTGAGAACCTGAGCAAAAACGTTGAAGAATTTAAGTTAGAATAAAATTACAACAAAACCCACCACGGTCCAAGCTCAGCGTTGTCGATATGCCATAGATTCTTAAAGCATTGGCTAAGTTTACTAATCCAATTAAAAACTCACCAAATCCCCGTCGACTTTCCGTTTCTTGAGCACGTGGAATTTGCGGCCACCACGGAAGACAATCTTCAAGGGCAATTCAACCTAAAACAGTAAGAGTTAAAGGCATTAACTGAAAGAAGAGCGTATCAATAAAGTTTTAGCTAAAAACTGTTACAAAGCTCGAACCAATAGTAATTTAATTGATAATAAGTTAAGAAAATACACGTTTTCAGACCTAAAAACAGGTTTTCTTAATTAATTTTTGCTGGATTACAAAAGTGGTTCCAATTAGCCTTTAAAGAGACAAAACTCACTTCCACCGTCGACTCGTAATCCTTGCCCTGGTGATAAAAACGACCGTCTGTTTATTGGCTTCGCGAAGGGCATCCTAAAAACAATAATAAGTTGGTAACAGCACATTAGAGCAAGTAAAGCCAATGCTCAACAACTGAACCCTCAACAAATACACCTCGGTAGTGACGGATCCAATGAAATAGCCTCTCTTAAGAGAATTACTAAAAGTTGGAATTAACAAAAAAGTAACAAAGAAACGACCCACCCCGTGCTCATTGATGCAAAAATGATGGGTTTCTGGAAACCCCGAACAACTCGTTCTCCTGCAAATTGCTGATAAAATGCAAAACCTTATTCATCTTCTGTAAAAACTTTATTCAACTTCCGTGAAAATATAAATGAAAACTAAATAACCAAATGTGACCAATAAGCAAAAACAAATGTGACCGTATTTACATAAGCCCGTGATTGTTAATTCGATGTAAAAAGCCTTAGTCCTCAGCGTTAGCGCAACCTGTCGACCTGATCTAAAGATAAAATTGGTTAATATCTTGTACTCAATTTTAGAGCCTTTGGATTTAAATACCAGTTCACAAAATTTCTCCAATAAAAAACCTTTAATCAGAGCATCTCACCTTCCGGTATTAATAGCATTGATTCGTTCCTGTTCATCGCGTTCCAAGATTTGCACAATATCTAAAAAAGAAATGAAATTTGAAAAACAAACAATTCATCAAACCCCAAATGATCGTGATTGATTCCAATTTGGCGACAAACATAGCATTGAGTCTGGCCGCAGCTGCCGCAAGTCATCACATGGCAACCTCCGTCCTAGAGTTTTCAATTAAAATCGAGTTGACAAAAGCGCAACTTTTGTGAATTCCACTCCACAACGGCATCTGCGAATGACAATCGCGGTCAATTCTTCTTCCCTAAATCATAAAATCTCATAGTGTATAGCCAAATTGCAATAAGTTCTATCTAGCACGTATAATCCACCCACTTTCGCTTTCGAGCCTCATCAACAGCTGCCATCACATCCTCACACGCACGACCCTTATGCTTATTATCGTAGTCCTTGCCACAAAGTCCAAGATGAAAATCCTTGGATCTAAGGTCTAAAATTCTACCGGCAATATTTGTAGTTGCATTGAGGGTTGAGGCAGAAAAATCGCGGCTGTTTCTCTGGATCTTCGACGATTGCGGCAAATAGACAGCGTTTACAACTGAAAGACAATTTTTTCTGAAACTCTCTGAATACTGAAACCGTTTAAAAAATTAAATTATCCTAGGTAAGCCCGAACCTTTAAAAAATGCAAATAAGCCGAGGAAAGTTAAATTATTATGAAAATGTACAGTAAAAACCAACTGTGCCATGTTCTCAATTTTTACGGCAGCAAGCGCGGCTTTCGTGGCTCGCTTACCAAAGAGCTTTCACTCGTCCGAGTTAAGCAATGGTTCAATTTGATCTAAAAACAGTAAATTTTAAAAACTTAAAATCCTCACAAGCTAGAATAACTCCTGTGCATTTCTCCAGGCATTTCACCCCACAACCACCAGGGCCCATTGTCATTTCGCTCACCGAAGTCATCGCATGTTGTTTCACGCAACCCTTGCAGAAAGGATGTGAAGCTTAGATTTAAGATTTAGCTCAACAACTTTATTAATAACTTACTATCTTCCCTGTCATTCGAGTCAAAATTTCTGCAAAAAACACCATCGCTATCAACGTTTGTAACACAGCAAATCGGGCATTCAAACTGCGTAAGAGCAAAAACTGCGGTAAAAAAATCCTAAAATTGATATGCGAGAAAGGTTTGCAATATTTCCAACACTTACAGCGTTTATCATTGTTTCGTGCTTGGTCCATTTCTGGTTTGCCATCTGTGGAAGCTGAACATTGTGCTTTTCATTTGCCTCTTTCATTCGCATCGCATTAGATTCGGATTCCCTTGGAAGCTTTTCGGGAATGACTAAACATTAACAAATCCATAAAACAAAACGACTTCTTTTGCATCTAAAATCTTTCAAAACCTACATTTCTGTTTTCGCAAATTCTTTCCCAAATTGCGAATGTGTACCCCATTTCAACGAGTCGAAGAATGATGATGCATTGGTAGAAACCGTGTTTCTGCATTACCTCATTGATTGCACATTGTCGGCTCTAAATTAATATGTAAAGATTTCAGCACTTTAAGATTAACCGTGGAAAAAGCATCACGTAGAAACATGCTGATTTTCGTCTCTTCTATTGTCGTACGTTGCACTTCCTCTTCGGACTTCTGTCTAAACATTATACGATATACATATTAAGCAAAATATATTGGTACAAACTTTTCTCCCAAAGCACGCAATTTTGACCATAGCTTTTCTTTCAGCATTTCTCTTTGGATCTCTTCTGGGTTGATGACTCTGAAATTACAATTTAATAGTTTAATTTTATCACTAACTGTTCAGCAGCTGTATATGATGGCTTTGGGGCGACCTTGCTATTGACGTTTGCTGGCTCGACTTTTGGCGTCATCGATTTCTAATACTTAAACATTACGGATAGCGATAAAACTTACAGCAAGTTCGTCTAAACGAAGGAAAAGTGGCTCTTCATCCAAATGCAAGTGTTCACGAATCGTCGCCTCCGAAAGTTGCGGGAAGACTTCTCTCTAAACAAGTCAGGTATGATGAGGCTGGACTTATAAGCTTGTACTTATTCACAAAACTAAACCCACCATTCCAATAAGTTTGTTCCTTTCGTGGTTTTGCTCCATCTCCGTGATTTCTGCTAGAACACCCTAAAGATAGCTATTAAAATGTTTAAATATTAACTGAACTTCAAAATCATCGTCGAGAATAGGCTCATCGACGACAACACTTTGTTCTGCCATCTGAAAATGAGAAATTTGATAATTTGACATTATTTGCCAAAAATGCTTACGCAATATAATTTGTTGCAAGGGAAAATAATGTGTACAAAGAGGTGAGAGAAGAAATGGGCAAAAGGGAAAATTGGAAAAAAGATTTGATCGCCACAAAAAAACCGCTGTGAGTCTTTTCAAAGGCCAAAGCGCAAATTCTAAATTTTAAAACTGAAATTCCATAGGCTAGAAGCTAGACCTGCTTATCGGAATTCCGATATGGATCTTAACGAGTCCTGGATTCGGTCGGACAGGGTAACCTTATCGATACCGAGTCCTATCCATCCAAAACCCATAAAGATTCTTCCGCTTGGAATAATTTTAGGCAAGGCTTGAAGTCAGGTA